TGAGTGCCCCTGGAAGGCCCTGATTCGATTATGTCCAATACTTGTTCCTCTGTGCTTGGAACCCGAACATCGATTGTCGTCCACTATCTTCCTGGAACCACTGTCCTTGCCCTTTGTTGGCGTGAGTTCTTTCAGCTTCTGCTATGTTGCTGTAGCATTTCCCCTGAACTAATCGCATATCCGCGAATTCGTGAAAGTAAATTCAAAGTAAGTCACAGTTTGACAAATTATTGTTATTATTGACAAGGGCTATCCACCTGTAACTATCTGTTAATGACAAAAAACATCATTGCCGCTGTGCCTTTTCATGAAAAAATTTTAAAATAGAACTTTTTTGATATTAAAAATTTTCGTAATTTGAAGCAAAGATCGTAATTTTTTTTTTTGAATGCTTAAGTATTCTAATATGCTACCAATTAAACATGGAACAATTTCAAAATAATGCTTAATAACAAAGTTGAAATTCGATCTTCAACTGTTAATATCTTCTAGAAATTTTCGAAAAAAATTTTTCAATATTTTTCTCGTACTTCCCAAGGGAGCCTCTATCACCCCTTAAAAGGAATGACGCCAATTTTGAATCACCCTGTATATATACTCTTTCAATCAATGCTATGAGGAAACGATCTCTAAACGCAGTTCGGATGTTGGAAGGTCCTCACTTTGAAAGGGTGTGATCACAGATGAATAGGGCATTTGGTACTCGAAAATGCTTGGAGGTCACTTAGAAATAGAGAATACATGAAAAACACAGAAAAAAACAAGTTTCTTTGATGTTTTGAAGATATTTACACTGCTTGGATAACGTGAAGTTCCTAATTCCAAGTGAGAGCAGTCGCACGTGAGAACTGATAAATTTTTGAACTGCTGGGATCATTTGAGACCAGATAGGGACGATACGAAACGACCAAGAGAACTGGAACATTAAAGAAAGTAGAGAATCTTAGGTCTACTCATCATCAGTACATCAGTTACATAGCGTGTTTGGGATATTTTTGTTTCGCTTAGTCTAAGGAGGTGAATCTCCTGAACCAAGTACCAAAGTGGCGCTGTTGTCTAATTTAATATTTGTTTTTTCACATTCTTGGCCCTACTGCATATAATTCCTCAACTACTTACTATGCTCTTGCAACTTCATTAGACTAGAAATCAATGGGAAACAACGCTTCACTATGATCATTTATTTTTAATAATATTATTATTATCATTATTTAAGGGCGTTGTTATAGTTTGTCGTAATAAACGAATAGTTAGCAGACCCTTTCACCTATATAATTTCAACATTTATATCAACAAATATAATAAATTATAAAATGTTACCACTGATAATTAGGTTATCTTATCCCATCGGAAGCCTTGGTGAAGATGATAAGGGTCTACATCAAGGAACCTATTTTGAAAATGTTCTAAATTTATTTAGCTCTGTAGAGTAGATTGGGTTTCTAGAACGCAGAAATTTTTGTCCTTTAAACCTCAAAATAAAATTGCAGTTACATGATATCGACCCTTTCCCACCCGATTGGGGCCTCTTTGTGTATACGAAATCCGAGGCGTCTTCCTTCAATTTAAACTATTTAAAGGCAATTTCTATACTTCCAAAGGAAGACGCCCTCATTTCAGTTATCTTATCTACTGGCTAACACGTTTAGGCATCACTTTTAGGCAAACACACACATATACGCGTATAAAAATCCCTATCCATTAATTGTAATAAGTCCCTTTGTGTCCTGTAGTCCCATTTACAGATTTGTAGGAAACACACCTAATTTACATGATCTGGAAAGTGCGGTCAGTAGAGTTTGTTTGGGAGAAATCGGCTTAAGAGCCCATGCAACCCTTAGGGACTTCTAGCCGTTAGAACTTGTTGTGTACAGGCCAGGGTTATTAAAATTGAGTATATTGAGGTTTAAAAACATGGAAAATCTGGACCTGGCGACAGTAGAAGTTGTCGAAAAAAGTGAACCAACTGTGTCCCAACTGAACGCTGATATTTCACCAATCATAAGGTCATAAAAGAACGACTATACACCGTTGCTACCAAGCGGTATGTGCCTTTCATTAGCTGCGCCCTTCTAACGGCCGAACCCCGATAAAAATACATTGACTGTAGATTTTCAGTTATCTCTAGTGCAGTTTGTTGTAGGTATACCTTGTTGTAAGCTTGAGTTGGTTAAACGTAATTTTTAGAATTTTGGAAATCCTACATTACTTACGAGTTTCACTAACAAAAGTACAGCAACCGCTGAAGGAACAGAGTTTTAACAGAGAGAAAAAGAAGTTTACCCGGATTATATTGCAACCAATTCATCGAAAACTCTCATCTAAAGCTCCCTCGGCCATGACAAGGTCCCGATCTGAACCCTATAGAGCGTCAACGCTTCATAACTCAAAGTTGTTGCCATGCTTTTGCCAGCTACTGCACCTGATAGTTACCTTAGAACCTAGATAAAACTAATGTAGGTACCCTTTCTTGTCGAATGAAAAACGAGCTTTGCTATGGATATTGTTTAGAAGTTGATGGCAAAATGTCCTCTTGAAAGCTTGTCGTCGAGTCTTCCTTGGTAGCTAAGGGAGGAATCTAGAAAAGAGACACTTGTTATTTGCCGGTGATACAAAGCCGACGGAATGCAGAAAATGAGTGCTGAGACGGTGCTGAGTCAAACCCTTTGTCGGTAAATGTGTGAACGTTAAGCGGAAATGGTGAAAGCAGCACTAATTCGATTTTTTTTAGCAGAAAAACCATTCAGCTACTCACCTCTGGGTTGAATAGTGTGTTTTTCAGATGTTTTGTGAATGTTTTTTGTTGAGTATTTTGGTCGCGTGCACTTGAAGCAGAAGCGGCTCGTGATGTTATTTCAAAGAGTTTTACACTGAAAGGGAAAATTCTCATCTGGAGCCGCCTCTGGCCCTAGAAATTTCAAACCAACAGCTACCAGAACCCAAACTATTAAATATATAGAGAAGCGAAAAAGCTAGAAGAAAGAACTAGTTGGAACGGAACCTTATAAAGCGTAGGAAGTGTTGATGTGACCACACAGGGAAGTGGCTTCTGTCTGTAAAAGAAAATACAGAGACGTGTTGTTGTGTTGGAACCAGCTACACTAAGTAGTATTTTTGGGCGCCTACCAAGTACATATGTAGAAGAGAACAGTGTGTAGAAGAGAACCTCTTAGACCAAAATAGATTACCAGGTTCCTATTTGTCGCTCTCTACTCGGATTTACCTGTTTGTCCTCCTCTAACGTTGGTAGAAGGTCGTCAGTAGAGTGGGGACTAGGAGTGGGGGGCATTCGCCCAATCGACATCGAGTTCATCTTGGATAAACGTCGTTGCATCTCGCGCTCTTCTTTCTGCTCTCGCTCGCGCTCATAGCGCCTGGCACTGTAGCTGCGCATGGAACTAGTGCTGTGTATGGACGCGATGCTCGGCCTCCTTGAACCTTGCGGATAATGTTAGGTTAGAATACCATCGCTTAGTGGCTTTAATGTGGCAGGCAACATGCGGACGATCTACGTGCAAGGTGATGATTTAAAGATGAGTGTGAGATGAAAATTTAATTGGAAACATCGAAGCTGATTGGAGCGACCATGCACAATTGGTGCGAGCTCTTTATTGGAAATCTGAATCAAGCGTTTCGAAAAGTGCATTTTCTAAACAATTTTACACCACTGCCATCTTGCTCTGCTTAACTCAAATGTTTTCTCTGGTTTTTCGGAAGAAAACTTCCACATTTTTCGGTTAATTTAAGCTAAAATACTGGGTGTTTATTCAACGAATTGATGCAACTCAATTCGGTCACCCTGTATATTACCTTCAATGAACTTGAGTGATTAAGTAGATTTTAAGCTAGTGTTTGGATGGCTCTAATGAATTGGTCACAACATAGAGAAGACATGGTGAACTGACATCGAGCTATGCTTATCCGCTTCAACAGATATAAGAGCCCCCATGCGCACAGATGTAGATTTGCTTCTCCTGCGTCTCGTACAGAGTGAGTCAGTTTAGAATAGCAGCGATTTGGTCGTTTGATAGAGCACTTTATTTTTAGTTAATTTTGTAATTTGTCGGAAGCAACTCTTGGGCTTTTAGATAAACATAAGTGACTCACATAAGACCCCCATTTGTACACATTTAATCCACGATCAACTTGGGAAATTGCCTTAACTTAAAATAAGCGGTTCTACCAAATTCCATAGTCCTTGTTAGTATAAACTGACCTACTCTGTACCGGTCAGCGAAGCAAACCTGCATTGTAGACAAACGTACAAAAGTTTTGCCCAAACAGATGGGCCAGCATCTACAAAGTTTTGAATGGCGCAATTTAAAAACTAACCACAAAAACGCTTTAATGCTGACATGTTGGTTAAATAGTACATAGTATCTGCCTGTATGCATGGTAGCCGGTGTGCTTTTTCGACCGAATTTAAAAATGTTCGCGAGTTTAAACGTCTGCAATATTTTATTTATTTTGCTTCTTCGAAAGCTAGTCCTAGGACAATTAGCTCAAGATTTTCCGGGCGTGCGAAATAATATGTAAAAATCAATTGTATGTGGCCAAGTTTGAATCATCCGTTATTCCAATGGAAGTTTCCAGTTGTAAAATTCAGTGTAACCTAGTAATATGCATTCAGTTCGGTTTTTAATCGCTGCCCCATCTGTTCAAATGCGGCAACAACCCTGAGCCCCTTAATGGATTTTATACATTTGGCACAATGGGACAACACAGCACAGTTGGGCGAGCTGTCAGTACCGAGATTGGACTCGTCACAGCCGCTCGCCACGTAGTCGCAGTACGACAAGAGCAAGATGGCGGCGGCTCGAGCCGCACCTGTACGGGATTGCGGCACGGTGGCTGCGCCGTAGCCGTGCAACGTTGCCACGCTGCTGGCGCGGCGCGTAGTTGAGCTGCCCGTGCGCCGCGTGGATGCCTGCGAAGTAGCGCCGGCGCGCGCCAGGATAGGCAGAGGTAGAGATCCTGGAAAAGAGCAACGGACGGTGGGGTAATGGTAACTAGTCGGGGTCAGGACCGGGGCCGGTTAAGTTAAAGTTTAAAACCGGGATCAAGCGCCTGGATGGTTGAATTTCTTCCAAGACATTGAGAGAATGCAAAATGCACTTACGGTTAGGAGCGGTTCTATGTACTATGTGGGTTGGGGCATGAACTAAACATGAAGATGAACCAAAATGAGAATGCCAGATACATAACAACAGTTTGCCATAAAGGGATGTTTCACTTTTCCTTTTTGTGAGGCAGGTACAGTTTCCATGCACATCAATGTCAATGTTCAACTACCTTTAAGAGCACGACAAAGCATAGCAAATTTCATAGTTTTAATGTGAGGGCAACGGGTCTGTTCGTTCATTTCCACATGTTATCAACGTTTTTGGTTTGGGAGCTTCTTTAGAATAGGAAAAAAAGTTCAGAAACTGCTCTGGAACATTTTGATCAATTCCCTTGCAATATTAACAGTTCGTTAGCGTTTTTGGTCCTTCGAGCGGGATGAAACTGATGCAAATAATTTACGGTTTAATACAAAACAAATCGATGACACTTCGAATATTTCGTGACGTTCATTCACGTCGGTTTTGGACGTAATTTGACTGTGACAATAACGCGACAACGTTGGTGACGTTGACGTATTTACATCCGACGTCTCTGTCACATGATTATCACGTTTACGGTGCTCACTGGGAACTCTGATTACTTTCCGCGGAAACAGTTATTGGCATATCGAAAAAAAAGACCACATTTAACAACCATACTGTCCAAAATGCACTTGATATGTAAATAACAGATTGGATTAATGTAAATGCTTACCTGGATCGCTGGCATACATGATTGGCGGGGCCAGATTAGCGTTGCCAAATCGATGTCGATGATGGCCAGAGCCGTAAAGATTCTGGTTGAACAAATGTAGCACAAAGCAGAGGAGCCCCGACAGAATGGCAATTCCCGATAAAACTCCCGCAAATGTTGAAAAGTCTTTCGTTATTACCTGCACGTCTGGAGAAAATGAAGCATAGTCAGGTTAATGATTATTTTCGTGCGCAGCACAACTTGCCTTCTGCGCAGAAGACTTTCTGCGATGGTTTCTGAATTGATACTGAGTGGTAACCATTTTGGCACAGGCAAATGGCGTTGTGGTGGATTTGAATGCATGATGCGTGTTGGTCAGTGTACACGCACGTTTCGTGATAGTAACATTGTTCTCCCAATTTCTTCGCTGCAAATTAAACATCAGTGATTTACGTGAAAGTTGACTAGCATGAGTCTTGATACTCAGCTAAAGCAAGGGTTTGACCCTGTCAGTTTAGGTCCTAACTAGGGCCTTAATTTCCGATTGCAAATGACCATTTCGTTCGACATGAAATTCAAATTGCCTTTCGAAGGAAAGAAAACTACCGAAAATCGTTAAAATTTTCACTTTCTTATAAAATCGAAAGTTGGAAATTCCTACTTTCAAATGCCATTTTGAACATTCAAATCCAGTTTTCCTCTTCATAATTCGGACTTTCGACTAAAATTTACAACTTTGAAAAACAGGGTCCTTCCACACGTTGAAAATTCACATCCAGCTGAAAGGCCTGCGCCAACAGGCAGGAATTGTTATTTTCTCCTTTTAAACTGTTGTAAGCCCAAAGTTGAAATTAAAATGTAGGTATTTATGTTTCAGAATATCTGTGTTAAAGAGACTGGAAAAGGTTTTGAGTTAAACACAAACTCTCATCGTTTTTAACTAAAACTTTTGAACCTTACGACCAAATAAATGTTTTGTCTTCGACTTGATATGTATTTTTTAGTTTGAATTTCTAGCCACGCACATCAAATTAAGTCCCAGTTACGACTTAAAACTGAAAATTCGCTCTGACTTGGATTGTTGTTAGAGTAACTTTAAAGCCAACATTTTAACTGAAAAATCGAAGGCCGGTGAAGTTTTGAACAGGCAACTTTGATTGTTAACTGTGAGTTTATTCCTTTAAATTGTTAAATCGGCGGTTTTAGTGTAATTATGCGACTTCTTGGACAAAATCGGCTTTCGAATGCAATTTTAGCGATTCACATGGATATTGTCCTCGACATCTTCACCGAACAGTTGAACTCTGGAAAGCACATTCGCACAACAAATTCCGATAAAAAAACAGCTAGAAATTGTTCTTTTGTGCAAACTTGGAAACGTCATTTAGCGCTGGAATTCTATCGAAAACTTCGAAATTTAGTCCTCAAACCGTAAGATCACAATTTCTACTAAAATTTAATTCAAAATGTCCACTGTTATTTGAGGTTTGGACATTGATGTCCAGTTGCAGCTCAAGCTCAGCTTTATTTCAACTTGTGAAAACTCAAAGCCATCAGAAAGTCAATGAACCGGACTTTCTACCAAGCGCTTAAAAACTATGAACAAAAAATAAAAAATCAACTAAATCTTGGTGGCCTAACACGAAGCTCATCTCATAACTGATACTTCCGAACTTTAAAGTAAATGCTTAGTGTTAAATAAAGCCAAAATTTCGTAATCGAAATTATATTTTGAGCAGAAAATTTGACATTTTTTACCACAAGTAAATGGGGATTCTTTGTTTTAACCCAATACTCCAAGCGCAAGCCCCGAAAGTTTCAACCAATTTTCAAGCCCTTCAATGAGCTGTTAAATGTTCAAAATTTTTTATTAAAGTTTTAAATTTGGTTGCAGAATTAGAAGGATTTCAACTTGAAATTCGGCATTAATCGACTGAGTTGAAATTTTATTCGTAAGTTCTGATCTGAAAATGTCGCTTGTAAATGAAAATTTACAAGGTCGCCCTGCCGCTGCTAATTCCAGGCTCATTTAGAGGTTTTGGCTTAGAAAGAAATGAAATTTACACTCGAATTTAGACTTCCCACATACTTACGTTTACTGCAACCGTAATAGGCATTGTTGAGTTTGACCGGGTATTTTTTCTCGCAATCGCACTTGTTGGTAACCGGATTGCAGTAGACGTGCTGTAGCCTGGAACTGCAAGTAAACTCGCATGGGGCTCCCACAAACAGTCCTTTTTCTGCAAGACATAAAATACCCTTAAAGCGCTCAACTTTTGCCAGAAAAACCGATCAGTTTTCCTTCCAAAAAACGTTTATTAAATAATTAGATTAATCACTGACCATTAGTAACATTGATTTGAACAAATTCTTCGTTATCATCTTCAGGCACCAATGGTTGGTCGTCGTCTTCGTCTTCAGAGTGGTAGCTCTTCGGAGGAGGCAATCGTTGGGCGCTCGAAAGCGGCACGACTGGTAAGTACAAAAGCAACAACATATACAGGGCTAATGCGAGGTGTCTCATCTCCTGAGGTTTCCGTTTGCCTCTGGATACGAGGTGGCATTCGATAACATGGTACTCCGTGACTATAATCAATGCGAAACAACCCTAAACTAGTAATAAAACTAGAAAATCCAGGGCTCTACACAAATAAGTTTTTTAGTTGCGGAAATAATCGAAAACATTCTAGTCTGTTTGTCTGAACATTCGATAGTATGAAAGTTTCGGGAAATTAAAGAGACTAGTCCTAGTACTTAATTGGCAGTAATACGGCTAAAGAGGCCCAACAGAAGTAGAAATTAGAGCAAAGTAATCCTCTATAAGTATTCCAATCCACGGTGTTTACTAATGTTACCCTCAAAAATTGGCGAACATTTTCGGTTTTAGCCATAAGTGAATTGGTGTGTGTACGTGTTCACTTGATCCAACAGAATCGTTCTTAACTAGAGGAAATTTGTTACCTTGAAAATTCGACGATCAATAATACCTGGTTGAAGAAGGAATTAAAATGAAATCGTGCACTTGGTTGGCGAGTCGTTGAGTTTTGCGTGCCACTCAACAGTGTTGATTTGCACTAAAGATTGGTACTTACGAGAGTTAAAAATGTTTATGATAATTTGTTTATTGACGTGAAATTGGACACGAAAGTACGAGAACTAGCCGTCGCGACGTTCAGCTCGCGTAGCGTCGCGCGCTTCACGAAGGGGATGATTTTGCACTATTGCCACCCAATAGGGACCGAAAACATGTGGCAGCTTGACTAGAATATTACATAAATTACTATTCAAAGTATTAGGTCAATTTTTCAACAGTGAGTCTGCAGAGTAGAGCTTTTGTTCTTAAGACAACGAAGTTTTCGACACGATGTTGCCACCGTTAGGGGGTTTTCTTGTAGTCTACAAAGTTGTTTTCCCGCTCACCTCGAGGTTTAAAAAGAAAACAATAGGAACCTCCAATCTATCAATTTACTGATCTCAAAACTTGGTTCTGGCACAAGTATTCATATACAAACAGTGCGAATCAGCGGTTCTGTCGGAATCATTTTTTGGTTCTCCATTTCTTGGCTCTACCTCATCCACTTTGGAGGGTATTTCGTCATAGACGGGCTCTGAAATGGATACCGGCAGATACTTCTGGCTGAAATTGTACTGAGACAGAGTGTCCACCTCTGAGGACGCCCTGTAGCTGCCTGTCGACGGTGGATGGTCGTATAAATAGTGTAGAACATCTAGAAAGGACGAGTTAAAAAAAGGTTTTTATAAAATCGATGAACATTCTAAATAATCTTGCCTGATTTCAAATGGTTTGCCTGCTTTGGATAGGACAAATTCAACTCCGGTGCATCCAAGCCAACCCCCAGTCGGTTCAAATTAGGTTCTCTGGAAATTGCCGCTAAATAGGTGGGATTCTCAAATATTGGAGGATCTATAAAAAATGAACTGGCTGTTTTAAGCGGCGCATTCCTCATCTAGTGCAGATTAAATTGTATTAATTTGTTTTGTATGTTGGATCAAGAAATTTGCTGAAAATTTTGCTATTTATTTACGTTGGAGAAAATGGGTCCGATTAGTAACACTTTCTTTAAGGCTGTTTTTTATTCATATATATTGAGTTGATATCCGAGTTTAAAACAGGAACTTGTTGTGAGGCTCCGTGGCGCAACGGTAGCGCGTCTGACTCCAGATCAGAAGGTTGCGTGTTCAAATCACGTCGGGGTCAAGTTTCTTTTTGAAAATTTGTCTTAATTTTTCAGCTTGATGAAAAAAAATTCGTTTCGTTTTGTGACAATTCTTTGAGAAAGTTTCCAATATTGCGTAAATATTCACGACAATTTGACTTTCTCAGAAGAATCAATGTACAGTTATATGACCACTTATGAAGACCACTGTATATTTTAAGGGATAAATGTCGAACGATCGAACCTTGCAAACCTTTCAGAAGTTTTACGCAGCCAAGAAAAGTCAAGAAATGAAGATACAGTAATAAATGAAGCTGCGGAAGATAATGTATTGGCCATTGTTAGCCATAATGCATAGATTTCAACCAGAGAGCAGCAGAATCCGGGACTTCCCAAAACACCGTGATGAGCTGTAAAAAACCACAAATTTCATCTGGATTTATAAATTATCAGTATCCCAAACTTTTCATACAGGAGATGAAGAGCTGCGGGTGAATTTTTGTACATGGTTCCAAAACAAATGCCAACAAGATATCAAATTTCCTTATAAAATATTGTGGACCGATGAAACTCGATTTACAAATTGTGCTATGTTTAATCGACACAATGAACATCTTTGGAATCAAACAAATCCCCACCACGTTGAGCAAAGTAGACCACAAATTAAATTTGGGTTTAATATTTGGAGCGGAATGGTAGGTTCAAAAATCATTGGACCACTTATTTTTGAAGGCACCTTAAATGCGAATCGGTATCTTCAATTCCTTCGGAATAACCTGGATTTTATTTTGGACGACTTACACTTAGAAACATGGCGTAATGTGAAATGGGTTCAAGATGATGGCGCTCCTTCGCATAATTTTTTCCAAGCACGGAATCATCTGGCCGTAATATTTCCTGGGTGTTGGATTGGACGAAACGGCTCTATTTTATGGCCACTTCGATCACCGGATCTTTCACTCTTGGATTTATTTTTGTGGGGAGCCGTAAAAAACACAGTTTACAAAACCCAATATTCCAATTTAAATGTACTTAAAGAAGCTGTTGTTAGAGCATTTGAAAATATTGATGGTCGGCCATCCAGAAAAGCAACTCATTCAGTTTTGAAGCGTTGCAATTTTTGCATTCTTAAAAATGGTAGACTTTTTGAAAATGTTTTACAATAAAAATTAAAGTTTCTAGAGTTAAATTTTAATTGTTATTGGTATGATTTTATTTTTATAATAAACACTTTAAATGAGCAACTGTCTTAATTAGAATAAAGTTGTTGCCAACTTTAACGTAGTTGTCAAAATGAATATTGAAGCATACTGTTAGTAGTAGTAGTAAACATCTTTATTTCTAAAAAAGGCTATCGACCTATCGGTCTTTCTGCCCTTGTTTAATACATGCAGTCTTAATCTAGATAAAAAACCAATATGAAAATTCTCCTATTCTAGGTTAACAATAGTAGCAGTAAACATCTTTATTTCTAAAAAAGGCTATTGACCTATCGGTATTTCTGCCCTTGCTTAATACATACAGTCCCAATCTAAATAAAAAACAAATATGAAAATTCTCCCATTCTAGGTTAACAATGTTATTAAATAAATAAGATTTCAGTGGCAAGAAGAAATTATTTTATTGTCCACTAGTCCGTTGCGTTTGTAAGTGTTCGAGTAGCGTTAATGTAGGGAAACGGAAGCGGGATTGTCTGGTTGGTCTTGTAAGACAAAG